AAAAAGGAGGTTAGCAACTGGGTCCATTGAAACTAAAAATATGTGGTAACACTGTTGGGACAGTGTTGTACAGCGTATTTTGGCAAAAATAAGGTGGGCATTTGAAAAGCATGCAATAATTCTGTGGTGGAGAAATATACCAACTATATCTAAAGACACATTCTAATATAGCAGTCCAGCCAAAATTGATCCAATCCCAGTTAACAATGTAAGACAAAACATGGGCTTACTCAACACCCAACACAAACAGCAAAAAGCATCTAAAAAATAATGTGAAGCAAACAGAAGAGAAGACATATTCAAGCAGAAATAATAAAATGAAAAGAAATTCCCTGCTTATATCTCTTCTTTAGTGGTAATGCATTTTATGTATTATCACTTTTCAAGAACATCAAAGACTGTACAATGCAACACATGTGATGTGATATTTATATAACAAAAGTAAAATGTGACAGAAAAAAATCAGCACAGTAAAGTTAAGAATAAATCTAAATTACACTTTGAGTTTTGAAAAACCATGGACTTTTTAATGTATTAAGCAATGAGGTCTACAGATGCTGCACAGGAGAATTTAACCTGGGGATAGACAATTTAGTGCCTTATACCTGCTGAGTATCTTGTTCCATTCTTCCACAACCGTTTGTGTAAAGGGGGGTCTCATTGTTCACAGTTTTAAATGCACTTCCACAAATTTTTGACTCAAGTCCTCTGGTTTGTTAGTCATTTCCCACTACTATCCTTGATATATTTTCCTTACTGTTAAATTGGTATTGTAATGCATAAAAAGGCTTTATTTGTTTTAGCATCTATTGCAATATTCTTGGCCTATACTGTGTATATGGAGCAGGCATCTTTAGCATCTTGACCATGCAATGTCACACATAGAAAAAAAGATGTCCTTGTGAAGTTCCAAACATGAGCTTCATAAGAACACTTTTTCTAACTTCTGTCAAGGGTTTAATTTTGGCATCATCAACCACGCTGACGTAACTGTCGTTGTGATGTTGGGAGCCGATGAACATGATCTCAGTCCTGTCAGGGGTAAATCTTGAGATAAAAAGTTTGCTCCTGTAACTGTGCCCATTCCTCTCAGTAAACTTCACTGCTTTGCTGTAGTTGTTCAGCTTTCGTTTCTGGTGCGCAGCAGTTGTGGTTAAAATGGGCCATCACGTGGAGCTTTCAAAGTCTGTCTCTGTGACTGTTCATCGCCAAAGCCTGCCTCCCCCTTGTACCCAGGCTCTTTAGTCAGCTAGTCACGGGCAGCAGTGACTAATGGCTCTGGGGATGACAGACTGGGGAACTTAGTTTCAAAAAGATCGGCTCAAGGGATTAGAAACATTAACCAGAGGAGACACACCTGCTTAGCTGCATTGCCATGTGATCCAGAATATTGAGCATTAGCTGCAATGTCTCTCAGCCTCTATGGGGACACTGCCATGAAAGGAAGTTCTATCTGAATGTCACAAGGCCTTCTGCTAAACTCTTTTCTTCCTGCCCTCTGATCACAGGCTTGACAACAACTAAAAAACATAACTGTTGTCAAAGCCCCTGGGGACAGAGGATCAAAACTGAAACATCTTTGGAGCTTTGGCCTTGGCTGTTAACATCAAGATCAGCATTCCTTTCAGTCATAATTTTATAGCCTTATCTGCTTTTCACATAAATTGCACGTGGTCTGGAAAATAAGTAAGACCATGCCATTGAGCTACATGTAGTACACAAAGTCCTTTTAAGGCTTTCTTCAGTCTTCCTCAGATTCAAAAACAATGTAAATCTAAATGGGTCAAAGCAATAAATCGGACTATAACTCAGGACATTTGTTTTCATCCACGCATAAAATCTGGAAAAAGCACAAATTGTGCAATACATAAAACATGTATATTTAGGACTACACATAGGACAGGGGAATGATAACAAAGTGGATGAAAGTACCAAGGCGGCAACATGGCCTACAACAAGAAACTGCACTTTGTTACACTGCCATGTATGCCATATGTTAGCAAATAAATACTAGTATTCCCATATATGCAGCCAAGTCTTGGGATCAGTGTTCTGATCTGATCTCAGCTGTTACAAGTCTAAAGCTGTTGATTTCAGAGGCTATCCCCCTGCCGTTTAATTGCAGAAGAATTCCTGGAAAGTGATTTGGAAGGACAGGTCTGTGATACCTGCCTTGTTCTGTGCCTTCTCACCACTTTAGCGTTAAAGACAGAATTTTACAAGAGAAGGCCCCTCTATCTGGGGGGAACCAAAGAAGAGGCCCGAGGAAGGTTATAAACGGAGATGATTGCTCTGTCCATCTGGCTTGTTTGTGTTACAGGCTGGAGGAGAAGCAGCACGAAAGTGCAAAGTTCTAGCACGGCCAGAGTGGAGCTGCACTATTTCATGTTTTGCAGACCAAATCATACATTTTCTTTACAGACGTTGTTTTATTCATCTTGAAGGTTCAGGTCCCTCTCCCTCTCTTGAGCCCTGCTGCGGAGCCCCTGTTCTTTTCCCAGCTATCTCACATCCCTGCTGGCCGTAGAACACTATTTCATAGAGAGGTTTGCAGCTGTCAGATACTGATGCCATAACTACAGACGACAGCATCCCCACAGATGGACTGAATGTCAGTTTGCTATTAGCTTCCTGATACAAAAATTTCAAGCCGTTATTTCTTGATGTATCCCAGGTATTCTGCTTCAACAACATGTCTGGGCAGCTTGTTCCAGACCTTCTCCACCCTCTGTCCACAGACCTGATTCCTCTTTTCAAATGTAAATGCGCTCCCTTGTTTAGCAGAGAGGGCACAAATTCAACATTGTAAACCTTACAGAGCTTTCAAAATATGTACTGAAGCAAAGTCCAACAACAAAGCAGTTCTCTTGTAATTATCCCAATGTGTGGAGTCCAGTTCTGCTTCCCAGGGCAAGACACCATACTGCCTTCATGATAAGAGCACCACTGCAGTCAGCTCTTAAGAAAACTCTGGGCAAAGATACTGTTCTTTTGATGGGGCAGCCAGTTATACAAAATGACACAGCAGGGGCATAATGAACATAATACAGACCACAACAGAAGCAAAGTCAATGGCAGAGACAAGGTTCTGAAGCTGAAAGGTACATATGTAGAAGACTCAGCATTTAAATGTATCAAGGAACTATGGCAATGCCTCATCCAGATTTTGGAAAAGCTAGAATAAGAACTATTAAAAATCCTAAGGAATCCAGTTTTTAATGGGTGCCTCAGCTGGTATTGTATGAGATTTCTGAGGCACAGCAGAGATGTGCTTTATCATCACAAGCTGGAAACAATGGGTGGAATTTCATCAGGTCAAGATGCCAACATGCTTTAAGACACCTCTGAGTCATACAGTAAGCATTGGAGGGAAAACAGTATGGATATTCACATCTAGGCAAGAGAATTCATGTTTTTGATGTTCCTACTTGCCAAGTTCCTGTTTCCACACTTACTGGTCCACCAATACCACTTACAGTTCAATCGAGTTTTCCATTCCAGTACTGACCAGGCCAAGTCATGCCTGGCTTCTGAGGTCCATGGAGATCAAGCTACAGTGCTGACTTTGAGCTTCAGAGAGTACCTGCTTGACTCTCAACATCAGACGTGCAGTAAACCTTGAGATTAGACATAAGCAACTCCTGAAACAACGGACCTATGTAAATATGTGTGGAAAGTGACACCACTAGAAGTCTGGAATATCCTTATCCTTATGGGCCCAGCCTGAATAACAATGTGTACAGTCAAATATGTGGCAAATATTGGCACTGTCAATGTTTCATTGCATTTCACACGCTGTATTGGCCTTCCTGCTCTTAGGTGTATAACTAATAGCTGCACAAAGTTTGTTTTTATTAAGTACACTTTCTTGTTAAACATAAATACAAGTAGCTAATCAAAACGCTTGGAACGAACATGCTCTCTTCCAAAATTGTGAAAATGTGACTGTCAGAATCAGGTCACGGGAATAGACAGGGTTGGTTAAGACTTCACAGCAGCTGAAGGGGTGAGGAAAAGTCCACATTTCTGCAGAAGACACGTCATGTGAGAGAATGCCAGGAAAAGCAGAAATGGAAAGCTGAATAGAGGCCGAGCGGAGGGCTCTTTATCGTATAGGTCTCTGCTGCATCATACAAGTGTTGCTGGGGAAAAGAGCGTGTCATACAGTAACCACAAAGAGCAAATGAGGAACCCAGCAACCTCAAAAGGAAGCTTGAAACAGTCAACTTCATTTGCAGCGCAGCACTAAAGTGAAAAACGTAAATGTCTGGGGCACCTTGCTGCAAATTATGATTCTCACTTTGTACTCAAAAATAAACATCCATGCACTTTGTCAAACAAGGATTAAGCAGCTAGGAACTATTCCCGATGACATTCTTTTTCAGATTCATAGCACTTTTTAAAGCGGTCCATTATGGTACTGCTTAGCCTCCTTATAGGCTTCTAAACAGGCCTTGTAACAATCTTTTATTTCATAGCTTCTGCCATTGTGTAAATAAAATCTATGTGCAGTATCTATCCACATTGGTATATCACATTTCCTGCTTTCTGCTCTGCTTAAATGTAAAAAAAAAGACCAAGAAGAAACACCTTCATTAAGACTAGAACCACAAATATCAACCCTTTTTATTCTTAATATGAAACTTACTGGTTCATCGGATTTCTGAGTGGGCAGTGGCTTAATCACGCTGTTCCTTTACTGTAAATGTATCATTCCTTTGCAAACTCTGTGAGATTTGTCTTTCAGATCAGAGCAGAGCAAGGCATCAGATAAGTGCGACTGCCTGGAGATGAGACAATGGTTGAAGTGGGCCACGTGCCGTTATAGACTGTTGTTGGAAAAGCCATGCATCATGCTGGTTGAAGTAATGTGCAAGTGTTCGGCAGTCGTCTAGCACATGCTGAGGCATGAACATTTGCATTTGTGGTCACAGACGTACAGCGCCTCTTCCTCCTTAAGTACAGTGAGCCAAATATTAGCTAAAGCCGGACACCTCCCACTCACTGTTTCACCCAAAAACACCTCCAATGCCAGAGAAAAGAAAAACATGTGGGATGCTTGTTCCTCTGTGGCTCCATGAATTGTGGTATTGCTAGGGAGGCTGCTGGAACACACGCCACAGAGAGCTCTTCTGCTTCCCTGAAGGTATGATTCTGCAATTCACAGTCCATTAGATATTCCTCCTCTAAGAGCACCTTCTAATGCATTAACTGCACACAGAAATATGTAGGCGGTGCTGCCTTTTTTAATCTGATCTCATGCCCAAAGGGATGAGTGTAGCACAAACCAAGCAACTATGTTCATAATGTTTTGAGTAAAAAGGTCAGATTTTTTACTTGTCAGCCATTGGCTTTTAATGGTTTGCATATTCGTTTTCCATGCTTTGCTCTTCCCTCGTCTGTTTTCTATTTTGTCTTAACCAGAAAACCCAATGGAATTCAGCTTAAACTGTCTGTGGTTTGACAAGGTGTGGTCGCCATCTGTTTTCCGGGGGGGGAGCAAAAAGTGATTCTTTTTATTTGGGACATGTACTATTCTGGAAGTTAGGGATTTCATTTGTGAAAATGCATCTAATGAATCACAGAGTTATGGTTTAAAAGTGAACTATTGTTTCCCTGCCTTACACTGAACATCTGACTGCTAGTTACTGACTGCATGTGTCTAAAACACAAGAATGTGCAGGTTTTGTCAAAAAGTGCCTCTGGTTTGGTGCAATGTTTCTTGTTATTAAAAAAGAGCTGTGACATTTTATTTTTGTAACTAGCTAGTCCGTGTTTCTATGGTGTGGGTCATTGTGAACCTTTTTCTATCTTCTGTGTCTCCATCTGTCCCTGCTCCACTAATTCAATTCAGTTTTCAGTTAGAATTTAATTATAAAATGAGAGGATGAATAAAAAGGTTGGCTAAGGAAATTACTGAACTGGTCGGAGGTCAGCACTGTCACAATCCCCATCACTTATGAGGTATGTCCCAGGGAGAGGTGCTGCAATGGTGATGTTGGGGTAGAGAGAGGGTCAAGAAGAGAAGTACACAGTGTCATCTGCAGCTGGGGAGCTTTTATGCACAGGTATGTGGAGTGTGACCTCCGTTTAAACTTCTGTTCAATAACTTTATTTCAGCTGTTTGTGTAAATAATAATGAAACGTACTTTGGCTTGAACTCGCCTAGATGAGAAAAAGAAACCAGTGGTCGGAGATGAGCGCTGTCACATCCCCACCAAAAGAATCCCTAAAACACCAAAGCAAATTTTAAAAACTGAGCTAAGAGCTGTAATGGGAGCCGGTCAAGGCTCCTGCAAAGCATAGTTCAGGACCCTATGCAGAGGGTATAATCTGGAAGTAAGTAGAGAAGAACATCAGGTGAGGAGACGAAGAGGATCAGGACGGGTTGACAGACAGGGGGGCTTGACTGCAGTGATCTGGTGCTTGGGGGGCATGCCCATGGCAAACAAGTTCCGGTAGCCCAAAAGAGGGAATCCGGGACGCAGTCCTAAGTCCAAAAACGGGGGATCCAACCAAGACTAAACAAAAAGAGTTAAAATCAGGAATGGGATCCAGAACAGGGACAGGGAATAAGACAAAGGTAACAAGGCCAGGCACTCCGAGCCCCATACTCAGATGGTCAGGATGCCGTGATGAACCTATGCCATCGGGTCTCTCCTTGACCCGCTGGTAGGTGGGCTTCTGGGCGTCCATCTCCCAATGCTGAGCCAGGAGTAGCGAGAGCGCAGAGAGCTTAAATAAGGAGACAGAACAGGGTACAGGTGCGCGTAATCAAGAGCGCCCTTAAGAGGAGGGATTACGATTGTGACAAGAGCAAGTTAATTAATAATAATAATTGCTTACACTTATATAGCGCTTTTCTGGACACTCCACTCAAAGCGCTTTACAGGTAATGGGGACTCCCCTCCACCACCACCAATGTGTAGCCCCACCTGGATGATGCAACGGCAGCCATAGTGCGCCAGAACGCTCCCCACACACCAGCTATCAGTGGGGAGGAGAGCAGAGGGATGAAGCCAATTCATAGATGGGGATTATTAGGAGGCCATGATTGGTAAGGGCCAATGGGAAATATGGCCAGGACGTTCAGCTGCAGTTTTGGCAAAACCAGATGCAAAAATGAGATGAGGTATGATGCAGTTTTGACTTTGTTTGAATGAGCAGATTCAGATATACAGTGCATGAGAAACATGTACGATGCAGGTGACAGAATCTGATTCAGGGAACAGGCAGCAGTACTAGCAGCTTGCAGCGATAGCAGGACTGGCTACCTTGGGACCTTTAACTCTGTGATGAGCAGCAGAAGACACTGCTGTGATCCAGAAGAGTAGCCTGACGTGGAAGCAGAAAGAGAGCTGCCGCTTGCTGAAGTTTGCTAGACAGGATGGTAGAGGACGTATTCTGAGCTGAACCCCCAACAGAAGCAGGAATGTCAGCTACATATGTGGCTGAAAGCTTTGGGAGAAGAGTCAAGGACCGACACCACACCAGTTGGACTTTAGCTGTGTGGGAAATAAATGGCACAGGGGGATAACCCATTAGTAGGCCCGAGCGTTGGGACACCATGAGTTATGAACAAGGAGGGGTGGATCTGTTGCAGACTGTCACTGCACACTTGCACCCATGGGGCAGTGTAGGAGTCAGTCTCCATGGGCTCCTGCAAGGAAAGCAAAAAGAATGACTGAATCACTTGGGAGAGGGGAGAGACAAAATTACATCCGGTATATAGGCTGGGGCCATAGGAGCAATGGATTTGATATTTGACCTGGAAGGGACATAAACAAAAGGGAAGCAGAAAAAGCAGAGTTAGAGGAATTAGGAAGAGAGAGAAGGGAAAAAGGGGAGAGAAAACTGCAACAAACTTCTGGAAGGCTTTACAACATCAGGAAAACCTCTTTATTTTTGGTGGAGAGTTGAAGTTGAAATAGAAAGTGATTTAAGGTTCTCTTGCAGGAGACGAACATGATGAAAGTAAGGTCAAAGCAACATAAAATGAAAAACACATCAGTCTTCAAGGAAGTGAAAGGCTAAGTGCTAGAAAAGACGCACGCAGCGCCGTCTGCAGCCAAGGAGCTTTAGATGCAGTGAGAGCGGAAGTGCGAGATAAGAATTTGACCTCCACATGAACTTCTTCTCACTAACACCATAAAGCACCTGTGGCATTTCAAAAAATGAGCTGTTCTCAGTTCCTTCAGTGTCACAGCAGTTGCAAAAAGAGAAAAGTTAGGTTTTCTATTCTGATACATATTTGGGTGTTTCCCACCATTTGCACAGGGGAAAGACATGGTTTGTGAACTCTATGTGAGTCTCTATCCCATATTTGTGACTGAGCACCTTGGATGCCAAAGAAGATGTCTTTAGGACATTTCTCATCAGTTAACCTACACACAAAGGCTTGTTGATGTTTTGTTAACAACTTTCAGAAATGATGCTGCATAATTGGAGTTATGGAGTTGGAATGCCTTAATTCCCCCTGAGCCAACAATTTGATCTCTCTTTCCATGCATTAAGTAGAATAAAGATACTGAGTGGTACAAGTCCAACTGAACAAGCCAATTTGAAGTTTGACTTTAAAAGCCACACACATACAGAAAGGAAGTGGCAATGGAATGGACTGCCTTACACTGTATGGGTCTTCTGCCTGTTCAACTCCATAAGCAGCATGCTCATGCATGTACTGTGCATGTACAGTATATACCAGAGACAGACACCCCCAATGAACTCTTTATGTGGGAAACTTTTCAAAGGAAAAACTTATCTTCTTTCCCTAGTGGTTTTGAGATAAAAAAATCACCCAGTCATTCCACCCCCCCGTCATTAATTGTAAAACATGGACAGGCCTGGCTGGTTTTTATCTCCTTCTATCCAAGCCTTCTGATCTCAGATTTCAGACCAGAAAAATCTAAAACATATTCCGCAGTTTAGTGGAACATCCTTTCTTCCCCTGACATTAAATGGAGAGCTGAACTTTAGACAACAAATTCTATAATAATTGCTTTTCCATTTGCATTTTATTGCAAAGACAATCTTTTTTTCTTTCCATGAAAGTACCTGTAAGCGTTTTCACATTTTCATTATGTTTGGTGACAGTAAAACACCACGTTATGTCTGCACTTGTTCTTTAGGAAATAAAATAAAACAATAAAACAATCTCCTAACCGAGATTCTAGTCTTTATCTATTCTGCCCAGATTGCATAATTATTTCTCACTGGTCCTTCCCGTAATGCTGTGCTTTCCACTGTCAGAAAACATGCAACAGTAGTTTCAGACAGGCCCACCTCAGGCACCACTGAGCAACTGTTTTCTACAAATGTGCAGTAATGTTAACTCTCAGATTGCTGCCACTGGCAAATAAGACCCTCCTGTGTGAAAAAGAATGTGATGACAGGCACGTGGAAATAACTGATTGCGCATAGAGCTCAGCTGGATCAATTAGTCACTCAAGCAGTCTGCCTCATGAGCTGTGGGCGGCAGCGATTGAGGTGGCAATTTACTGCAAACAGGATGAGATGCTATGACAGCTTGACAGAACTAGACTGTCGAATCTATCTGTGCGTCAGCTTTAAGTCACTAAGAAGACTAACCAAAGATCAGTTCTGGAAGTCAACTTCAAGCAAGTTCACTGGGGTTTGGAATGCTTAAATCTGTCATCACTGACAAACATGGCGGTGTTCACTCTTAGATGTCCAGAGGGGCCACATGCTAACGCTGCAATCAATCTACAACACAACTTAGAAATATTACAACATTACAAAATAATTATCTCCATTTAGTCAATCTGTCGCCCTGCACTCGACTGGTGTCCCACCCAGGATGTACTCTGCCAGGATAGGCTCCGGTTCCGCCCTGACTCTGAATCGGAAGAGTTGGGTAGAAAATGTATGGAAGAATGGAGATACAGTCAATATACAGTAAAGTACATACAGTACACTTCAGGGTAATTTCACTATAATGCAATTTTTAGCATTATCAGTCATTACGTAACACTTCAAAAAATAATATTAAAACTAATTTCATTCTTGCCATGTTGTGGCTACACTCTAGGATCTGTTTGGTCAGAATCCTAGCACAGAGCTACGGAGATGTCCGAAGAGACCCGACTGTGAGGGGATCGAGCACTCTGGAACAGCTGAGGGAAGGTGATAGGGGAATGGCTGCTTAAGTGAATAATTGAATACTGGGAGGTGGTGCTTAAATAGCCCAGGCCGAAGAGTGTGGAGATCAAGGAGCTTGAGACTGGAGCTGACTGACCAGGTGCTCGATCATCCAAATGAACGATGACCCCAGAGACGGTTGGATCCTGCGCAAACCTCCCGAGGAGAGAGAGGAAAAACTGAGGAGGAGAAGGGGAGAGCCACCCAGGTCCGGAGCTGTGCTTGGCTCCGGGGCAAGATGGAAGGCGGAGAGCTTCAGCCAGAAGGCTGGGCAGCACACTTATGCCAGGACGGACCACAAGATGGCACACCGATGCCAGACCAATGCCAGTCTGTATGGAACAGGTCTCCTCTCGAGACCAGGCCAGTGCATGGCATCAGCTCTTGGGAGGTGTGTCTGCAGTGCTGGCGTGTAGGCACAGTGCCTAGGGCCTACAAAAGAGGGAAACACTAGTGATTAACGAAAAACGAGCTGGAACATATGCTTGCGATCTACTCGAGGTGGATAATCAATAATTATACACTATCTAGCGGCTGTTCCAGAAACTTGAAGTATTGAAGTGATGGTCGCTTGACTCGCTCTATCAATCACGTGGTTTAGTATTAGAATAGTTTAAAGTGCATCATGTAAATCTACGTAATTCAATTGGTGTTTATCCCTCTTTTCTGCACATTTCGGAGTGAAAGTGCCTAGGGCCTATGAACACCAAAATCCGGCCCTGTGTATCTGAGACTGACCAGGGAAAGTCAAGTGCTGAGACCAGGTTCAAAGAGGGGTTCTGGCCTCCATTCCTCTTGCGACTGCCCGAGGTCGCCCTGGACAGCACTGTCAGGCCAAAGCTCCCAGACTGAGGCCAGGGAACAGGATGGTTCCACTGGGAAGCTGGAAGGCAGCCCTGGAGCAAGAAAGATAAGAGAAAGACAGGGAAGGGTAGGGAGCGATGAGCCCAGGCAGCCAGGGGTGGTGGTTCCAGGCCAGTGTGGACTGCTGGGAGCTCAGAGCAGAGGCAGTCTGACCTGAGGCTAAGACTGCGTGGACTGACAGCTGAGTCAGTGGCCAGGTGGAGGCAGTCCGGGGTGAGCGCTGGTACTGCACTGAGCATGGGCGGCTTCAGTGTTGGAACGGAGGCAGTCCAAATGGAGCTCTGGAATTCTGGACTAGAGGAATGGAGCCGGGCATGCGGCAGAAATAAGGACCAGGTCCAGGACTCCAAGGCGGATTGGACTGCATGGAGGGAGGCTGCTGGAGAATCGGTCCAAGGGATCAGGGTCAGAGAGAAAGGAGGAGTGGTCTGAACGCAGCACTGCCTGTGGACGCTTAAAGATGAAGCTCTGCGACAGAGACGCTTTTGAATTATGTCAGGAAAAGGGATAATAGAGAGGCCAAAAGGAGATCTGGTCACATTGGCGAGCTCTGGTGAAAATGCTCCAGTATCCATTATTATTGCAGGACAGCAGTTGTTACAGTACCTAGATGAATGAGCCATTAACAGTTATCAACAATTCTCATGATGGGCTCTTGTGGACTATTATAGAATGAATTCATAATACAATCTACAAGGAACTGATCACCTAAACCTGAAATATAAGAAAATTGTGATTCAAACAAATTGAGATAAGTTCTTAAAACTAAAGCTCACGGCAAAAATGGAAGTGATATGACTGAACAAAAATCTAATAACTACCAGAGAAATACCCAAACAACTAATTTCAACAACGGCTGCTGTGTGTGGTATTATTGGCATAAACAAACACTCCTGATCTTAGTTTGCAAAACCAAACAACATCTCCCCACAACACAGGAAAAAAACATTTCAAGCAGCTCAAACAAGTCCTCCCATTATTGCAAACAATCTGCCTAGAATAGTAATTGTTGGAGAGGATAAGCAGTTTGCAAACAAGCAAAACAACAAGATCTTCACGGGACAAATGTCTGCAGGCAAAAAATCAAGATGCAAGCCTGTGTTAAAAATCAATATACAAAAGACATGTTAGATCCAGGCAATTTTTTAACTGAATTTTTTCATTAAAAACTTGAAAAAGACAAGCATTTTTTCCCTTTGTCCCCAATGTAGCAGAGTCTGGGTGATAGTACAGCATGTTTCCTTTTATTTCTCAGCCACATTTGTGGAAGTACCAACAGGAGCTTAAAAGTAGCGAGAAAGCTTACTCTGACAGGCAGGAACACCTAGTAGCCAAACCCCAGCCCAGCCACACTGTACTGTAAACAGGCGCCGTCCTTCAGATGAGATGTAAAACCGAGGTCCTGACTCTCTGTGGTCATTAAAAATCCCAGGGTGTTTCTCGAAAAGAGTAGGGCTGTAACCCCAATATCCTGGCCAAATTTCCCATTGGCCCTTACCAATCTTGGCCTCCTAATAATCCCCCTCTATGAATTGGCTACATTGTTCTGCTCTCCTCCCCACTGAGAGCTGATGTGTGGTGAGTGTTCTGGCGCACTATGGCTGCCGTCGCATCATCCAGGTGGGGCGGCACATTGGTGGAGGTGGAGGGGATCCCCATTACCTGTAAAGGGCTTTGAGTGGAGTGTCCAGAAATATAAGTTTAAGCAATTATTATTATTATTATTACTTGTCAATGGTCCCCTCTTCTAAGAAAAGCCTGATCACTTCCAGCCAATAAAGAGATCGATCTGCAGTCTTTTCATTTTTTGTGCTAAGAGTCTGTCTCGCAGAACTGGGGTCCTGGGTTCAATTCTGAACATGGGGTGCTGTGTGGAGTTTGTATGATTTTTCCCATCTTCATGTGGGTTTCCTCTGGGTACATGCTAGCAGGTTAATTGGCATCCGGGAAAATTGGCCCAGGTGTGAGGCTGAATTTGTGTCTCTCTGATGAACTGGTGTCCCATCCAGGGTGTACCCTGCCCTTCGCCTGCTGCTTGCTGGGATAGGTTCCGGCTCCCCCGCAACATTGAATTGGAAGAAGCCTTTACCAAAAGGATGGATGAAAGTCTGAAAGTCATGGGTCTCATGCCGCAATCAAGTTGGGTCACCCAACGTAAGTGATCAATACCTGATCTGTCCTCCACTACTTTGAATATAACCATGCACACAGCTTCCTTAGCCTGACAGAAATACTGCACACAGAGCCAGGAGTGCAGGTCCCCTTGCAGTCAGTACACGAGTGCCAGCAGTGTTGTTTGCAGGCGATGTACTCATCTATACAGCTCATCCCACAAATGCTCCATTTGAATCAGGCTTGGGGGTATAGTGGACCAACGCACAGCAAATGATCACAGACTGAACCGGCTCTCAGCTATCTCTGCCTATCACCATACGTGGGTCAGCATTACTGTGTTGAAAGCTTTTGTATGTGTAGGTGTTGCTGGCACCATGAATGAAGCACTGGAAGATTTGCCCTCTGTTGGCGCAGGCAGGGTGCTTTGCATTGTGAGATGCAATGTATTGTGTGTTGTGTGGGTCAACTTGAGTTGGGGAATTCAAGGGGAGCACAGCGATTTGAGAAGTCCTCAGAGTTGTTCCTTCTTAACAAAAACTGGTATAGAAAATAATTAAGGGTGACAAATTCTGAGGTGTCTTCAGAATATCGCGCCTCTCATTTTTGTCAGATAGCTTTAGACTAGATACTGAGGGGGTTTTGAACCACGTGGCTGTTAAAAGCAAGGCACAGCTTTATGGCACAGAGTTTTAGCTGATGGCTAGAGACTGAGAGAAGTACAGTTGATCGAGCTGTTTGATGTTCAGAACTGATAAGATGGTGATCTCATCCAGACGCTTCTTGAAAGAATCCAGGACTTAGACTTCAGCAACATGGCTGGTTAGCTTGTTCCATACTCCCACAACCCTTAGTGTAAAGAAGTGCCTGCTGTTCTTGGTTTGCATTTCCACGAATTTCCACTTGTGCCGGACAGATGTGCATTTTGCACTCCACTGCATTGCACAAAAAACAAATCTGTCTCCATAATACTCTACAATTCACTTAGTGTACTGCTGGCTTCTGTGCTTTCTGACACTGTAACACTAAACATCACATTTCTGATAGATACATACAGTACATGACACAATGACATAAACACAACAAACAAACACCTTTCCCTTGCATAAGTGTTTCTACAAAACCCCAGCTTCTCCTGCTGAAATATTTGATATGCTCAGATTGCTGAACTCATTACCAGTTTCTTTAGCTTGTGCCAAAAGGCAATCACTGGTTTGGAATTAAGAAACCATGAAGTTGTGACAAAAAAGGAGAATATTACATTTATTGGCTTCTCGGGCAATGGGGTGAGGACCACAAAAACAAACAAGCTGCCGTGCGTCTACGTCATCACAAGGCCACAATCGCCGCTTTCTTCACGTACAATAAAATACACATCAAAGGTCAAGAAACTATTAAAAGAAAATCTGAGAAACCATTACTCCAAAGTGGAACAAAGAAGAAAAGCAGGATGCCTCTTCAGCAAATAAACACAGAACATGATAAATGAAGTTGTGTCCAATAATTTCAGCATGTGAATAAACACAAGCCTATATGCTTCAGGGGCTAATAACCACATCAAATGAACCCTGAAATCTGTGTTTATTTGCTTTCACTGGATTAGACTCACTTCTGCAAAAGGTGCATAGTCTCAGTAATGATAATTACTTCCACAAAACACTGGTGTTTTTTGTCTTCCATGTATGAGCTTTCCCTGATATTCTGAGCAAGAGGCACAACTGCAAATGCAGGTTTACAAAGGCAGCACAAAATCCTTAGGACGCATGAGTGATTTATGGGGACATGCTTTGTATATTATGAGCTCAGGTTTCTTTTTATTTAGAACACATAGCTTTAAGGTAAACAACAGAAAAGATCATTTTCCCTTCAGTGTTGTCACAATGTTGCCAGTTTGAACCACGTTACACAACTGGCTGTGACTGGGACTCTCCATGTGACACTGCAAAATGGGCTGAGTGCCACCAGGTTGGAGGTTGGGATGGCTCTAAAACGAGCAGGGCATTCTCAGTTCACTGGCCAACAGATGTGGGTTATCGACCATGTGGGAAACCAGTCCTCTGCGAGCTCGCAGGTCTTTCAGAGAGGGCTGCATCACTCATCCAGGCATACTTTTCTGTCTTCTAGGCATCATGGGACTCGCAGCAAGAAATGGCAAAGATCACTTTTCAACTGGATGTTTTGGAGGAAAATGGACATAGTTCTCACCCTCCCTGGACAGTCACAGCAGTAAGGTCAAGCTGAATAACAACCATATGCTGTTCCCTTCCAGTCATAAGAACAGGATGTGGTAGATTTACTAAACACCCTGACCCCTTATAAGATTAAAAAGGAACAATATTTCACCGTAAAGTTGTGAGGAATGAGTCCAGTAGTTTTATTTGTTCGGAATAGTACACTGTTAACATAAAACCAACAAAATCTGAGTAAAAAGAAAGTTTTTCTTCAGTCTTTACTGATCCTCCAACAGCCCTCAACAACTGTCCTTCCAACAGTCACTCTCACAAGATACAGTCGATTCTGAAATGAAAAGAAACTGTTACCCCCAACCTGCACATCCACACACAAAATAACACATTACTAACATTACACATCTCAGTCTTATAAAGGGCCCCTTTTCTAAGAAACATCCCAGTTTCTATTATTCATATCACTGCCCAGTGTTTCACCTGAGCTGGAGTAATTTTTTACATTTCTAGGGAGGCAAGCAACAGCCACTGTCCATTTCAAGGCTGCATAAATGATGGTGCTGTCAATAAATATCGCCACAAACAGAATGTGGCGATTGTCCAGAGAAGATGTAGGAATATGCATGATGTTTCATGGACAAGGACGATTTGTGATAGAACATGCATGTCTTGCTATACGTGTGCCATTAATATTCAAGACCCTCTGTGCCCTCTGTAAGGACTTATGAGAAGATTTTGCCTTTGACTTTTAGGAAAGATCAGACATATGTGATGTTAGGACACAACTCTTCAAGAGCCTGCAACATGCTACTCTGGATGTATGTTGAAACATACGCAAAGATATGCATATTCAGCATACATTGAAGTTGACTGGCTGGGTCTCCTGAGTGGCTTCTCAGGTTTGAGCCTGGGTCACATCAATAGTTGAGATTCACCCAGTGGCGGTATTCAGTTCGCCAAGTACTACCAAGGTTACGTTTTGGGTAGGTCATCCAGAATTCCCTCGGCTCTCTGCAAACACAATAGCAACTGATGGCAGCATGTCGCAGGTACAGGGCTGTGCTACCTCTGGAGTGTTAAGAGATGATGGGCTTGAAGGGGGGCAGGAGGAGGAGTCTACCTCCACTTGAACTGAGATGGGAACAACTTGCAACTGGAAATTCCAAAATTGGGTGGGCATAAAAAAAACACGAATGGATTGTTCTGAATGAAACAAAATGGATCACGACGGCCAGCTTCCTTTTCATGTAGAAACCCCCTGAACCTGTCCTACAGCAGGAAAGCCAGATTACACTCCTCCTGGTCAAGCACTTTTAGGGAACATGTTGACTCACCAATAAACCATGTTTCCAACCCATCTGTCCTTATCCTGTCTAAATCTTGGACATGAGGTAACATCAAGCAGCAACCTTTGGATCTGAACTTTTCAAAGAACGCGATCATAAGAAACACCAGAATCCCTGCATAGAGGATCAACACCCTTCAGCTTCATTTCCTCCTTGACCGCAGATCCACACAAGCTCTGGGACTACATGACATTTCATAAGTGTGTCACACTTCACCAAAGTTTAATACAGAATTTGAAAAACACCCACAACACAAATGTGACTCATGGAGGCTATGTTTTTTAAGGTCTAAATTATTTTAATTCTTGACCTAAATTATGTGTACTGAATTTGGCTTCATTTGGTCGGTCAAATGTTTTTTGACCAGTTGCTAGATGGTGGCAGCACAACTTGTCAACAATTTTTGTAAGGGCATGGCATAATACAGCTTTGCAAGTTTCACACTTCTACAATGTTGCTTTTCAGAGGAGTTTTTGTAAATTCCTCAACTTTATCAAAAATCCAATATAGAGACCAAACTACTTGACCTATTGGTGTCATTTTCACTCAGCTTTGAACTTCCTGTCCAGGGATTTTTATTTCACAGAAAACTGAAAATATGGGAAGAAAATAAATCAGAAACAAACAGTAACCTAAACAATTACAACAGCAGCAATATTGCTGCTTGCTCCCTAAAGATACCAGTTTATAGGTCACTCTACATACATACAGTAAGTTACTGTGTACACGCAATGAAACAATTGTCAGGGTACTGCTGTTTCACTAGTTTGTGACTTTAAACATCAAGGGACCCACTTTAACTACACTGTGGTCCGCAGAATGCAGAATTCTCTGAAAGTCATGCCAGCATGTCTGAGGGATGTTCTAGAGGAAGGGGCACATGACTTCCAAGGAAAATGAGCTCATGCTTTGGTTTAGTGCTTGTAGAACACAAACTGTGTTATCTATGGGTTAGGAGTTAGTTTGACATAACAGACCTAAGCACTGGAACAAAATGAACTTTGTTAGCATTGTGAAATCCCTATTCTAGCATAATCAAGGTTTTACAAAGTTCAGCCATTATTAAACAGCAAGTAACTTTGATGAGTTCTTCATCAGAAACTAAGACTGGGAACTGGAAAAACCTAAACATGCACTGTGGGACAGTCAGCAGATCACATCAAACTTTTTGCTCATCAGTCATGTATATCCTCTAATGTTTTAAGATTTACAGACAACAGGATCAAATTTTTTTTTAATAAAGTTTCAATATTATTAAACCCAATATTTTTCAAGATTTACAATTATTTACAGTTTATTTTGTTAAGTCCCTACCATGAAAATGGTAAACCTATGCAGTGCTTTTAACCATCTCTACTGAATACAATTATAATATTATGTAAAGTAGCTTGTGTTAAATATTATCAAACAGTACAATTCCAACAAGAACTCCAAAGACACTTTACAAAGGATCTGTCACATGAGGCTGTATCTGTAACATTATGGCTGATTCCTATTCTGTTTAAAGTTTCTGACTCATACTTGTCTACAATGAGTGCATGTTTTAATCTAGTGAATCATATAACTTATTTTTACATACACAACAACGCCAGAACAGTGGCAAATATATTATTTTGTCTAGCATTTATGGATAATACATCCAAAGACAATGTATTATATTAATGAGCAGCTGAACTGTGTCCTTTTGCCAAAACAACTGTGAAAAATGAGACAAACTGCTTTTTAAACCCAGGTGCACAAGAGTTGTACAAAAGTGATTTTTTTAAACAATTTTTTACTTAGTAGAAAAAAAATCAATTAAAATTTTATATGAAACAAGGTCTAATGAATAAGATGCTCAGACTCAGCTACAGTAACAACAGTGGGAAAGAAGAAAACAAGGACTAAAAAGTCACCTTCAATGCAGATTCATAAAAAAACCATTGTAATACAATTCTGTAGTCACAGTATTTATCCCTTCAACTGATAGAGGAACAAAAGCTGTGATGTGTGATAAATCACTCCAGTGCCAAGTGAGTCAATGACTAGTGAGCCAAAGACTTCATCTTTAAACACTTTGACTAGACCAGCCTGTCTCTTCTGAACTAAACCCTTCTCTTTTTCTCCCCTGCAATGACAACCCTTAATAAACACTCATTCTTGCCTTGTATGGGCAATAAAAAGTGCTGAAAGGAAGTCATTTCTTTCACATTTTTCTGTGTCACAAAGGTCCATCAGGTTTATTTTGCAATGACATGTTAAGAATGTGGTTACAAAAGGCACATGCCATTGCCTTTGATATTTAAAAATTAATGCAGAGCATGCAAAATGGCATGGAAGGTCAAGAGACCTCTTTAATTTCAGAATATTACAGCTTTTTAACCCCTTCACTCCACTGTGTCACAGAAATGACCAGGTGAAACAGATATAAACATAGATGTTAAACATTCAGTGAAACACATGGATGTACATTAACAATATGTTTTGCTCAAAATAAAGATCAAAAATCCTTTAAAAAAGGCATCAATGGTAATTGTCAAATGTTCCACGAAAGAACAAAGATATGCTGCTGTCTACAGATAAAGTTCGTAATGTACAAGCAGTTCCTTGGCAAAGGTATGTTGACTCTGATGTGACCTGTGAAGAACACTACATTTTCCAGAACTTGCTGTTATCTCCGGAAAGGAGAAAAAAAATCTTTATAAGCAGGAATCTTCTTGTTCCCCAAGAGAATACAGTGCAGGCACCAGCTTCTTCAGAGCTGCAACTTCACCTCCAGAGAAACCTTACGGTAAAAAAAACAGATTAATTAAGAGGTTGTTGTCAGGAATTTATTGGGTAGTTTTACCTCCTCTGCCATCACACACCCCACTCTTCCACAGGGTATGGCCTGGGTAGAGCTATGGGCGAAGCTATGGGAGTGGCAATCTGGCCACACCTGCTTCACTACACCTGAGACACTTTGGCTTTTATGGTAATGCTTTTTTGAACGCTGTTGCATAAAGACAGCATAATCTCTTCATCACTGCTACCCTGGATGTTATATTAGCATGCATAACATTTTACAGAGACATGTGCAAATGATAGAATGTGAGAATAGGTGGTCATGACATTTGTTTTAGCAGCACATTGTACCAAGCTCTATAATTTATGCTCAAACAAATGTCATGACCTCTTATGCTCATGTTTTGTCATTTGAGCATGTCTTATTTCTCTGGTAATACTTGAACAGAAAATAGCACAGCACTTACAGTACAAGGCTGACTCAAAACATTCAGAGCCCAAGACATCTATCTAAGACATCTAAGGCTATCTTGCTGTGGTTCATGCAATGAAAACATTTAAACTGCACATCCGTTTTGTTGCATAAATCTTGAAATGATAATCACACATCTTTGGCAGCACCTGTCCAAACCACAAGTCAGTATGTAAGTGACTCATAACCATCTCAGATGTTTTTTTACATACACACAAGTATATGGCCTTTAGATCTCTTCTTATTCCTTTAGATATCTGAGAGAAAATATAATGTAAAAGTAGATTTGCTAAAGTGACACTGGATTGCTTGATTTGAATATGCTCTACCATATCTAACAACAAAAAAAGCCACCACTTGCTGAGATTGTGAGATTATTTTATTTCTCTTGGACCTGGATCAAAATCTTGTTTTCACACAATACAGGGGTGCCTGTAATTATGTCCCCCAGCTGTTTTGTCTCCATTTCTTCTTTGGATTTAACTCTCACTAGTTTACTAGTTTTAAATTCCAGGGGTCGTCACAGCAAGTGGTACTTAAGATGTTCTAGCGAGTTACCTCATTCAAGATACAGAGTGCCAATGCCTCCATGCAAGGGGTGGAGTTACCATGACTTTTAAAACCTGGTGGCTTTTGTTGTTAGACATGGTACAGTAGAGCATACTCAACTCAAGAGGTCCACCAACATGTGCTGGAGACTACTTCTTTCAGGAGCTCACCCCCAAACTCCTCTTCACCACTGGGAGACTGACGCCCCCAGGTCCTCCAGCATCTCACTGGCGACCTTGCGCAGGCTCGGGTGGGCGCTGGCCGCCAGCTCTCTGACGCGCGCCAGGGGCAGTGTCTTGTGGAGCTCCGAGGCCACTGTGGGCAGCAGCCCCTCGTCCAGGACGATGGATTGCAGCAGGCGCAGGGTGTGGAGGCAGACGCCCGAGTCAGGATCTGACAACGACACCCAGCAAAACACAAGCTTTAAGGAAAGATCTGAAGGAGGATTTTCCCGAGCACACCTCACTAAAGCAGCACGTGACCAGAGCAAGCCACATGCCTGGGAGATTACAGTCTTGAGTCCTGAGAGTGCAGCTGGTGTTGACATTCAAGGAGGCACGGCCTTGGCCAGTGTTCCTAAGTACGGAGAGGGAACTTGCTTGGATTTACTTTTAGCGTGTTACTCTTAAGTAAGAGAAAGGATCTTCTACTCCTCTGGTGCACAGACTCTCTAGTGCAACACAGAACCCAAATTCTGTCACCCAGCTGTCATGCCCTGGAGTCAGAGGACGTGAGCACACAGCAGGACCCGAGGGCACCGACAGATCCCAGTAAAATATTTAAATATTTAAATGTACGAAAGACAAATTGTTTAATTCTACCTAAAGAGAATGATAGTCTGGTTTGTGCTTCTCTTTCAAGAGTGAAAATTTAGAATTTCCCCTACAAAATGAAACTTGCTTTCGAAAGGCGTGCAAAAGGAAAGGATGAATTAACACAATTTCTAAAAGCTCAAGATCCCGTCATGGTCAGGTATTTCAATTTGCCTTAACCAAGATAAACAGAAAAAGTCTTTAAAGATAGCGATTGCTTTTATTACGTATCTTTGCAGGGACTGAGGCTGCCTAAGTCTCTCATTGAACATACACCTATTTTCAGTGAAGGTTCTGTGAAAATAATGTCAAACCAAATCTGTATTGTACCAGAACAGCAGAGCAGCTTTATAACAGGAGGCACAAACAGAATTCTACCGATTTTAACGAGGCACAGATAAAGGAGATTTCTGCTGCTACTTGATACTTGACCAATTTAACATAAGACGTTTTTTTATTTTTTCTATTATTGCATACTTACATATAAAGCAAACTCCTTAAATGTACAATTAAAATAATAACACTTTACAAAACAAGGTTTAATTACAAAATTTGCATCTGCATTGGCCATATGCCATTTTATCAGTAAATGTTATTAGTGGTATTTTACTGGTTAAAAGAAACATAATCCCATATTTTCTCTTGGTCTTTAGTTTCCCTCCCGTAAGTAAAATGAGAAAATGGTACATTTCAACCTCATTTTACTTTGTTTTCTGAGGGTAATTCTAAGTTATCACAGCTGACAGCTGGGTTGTGGGAGTATGAAACCAGTTGCCCCGCTATCCTCAAAAAGAGAGCTGGTTGAGATCATTGGGCCAATTAGCCACTAACTACTAAACAGGCTGAATGGGCTGAAGGACCAGCTCTTGTTTGTAACCTTTCTTACGCTCTCACTGGAGTTCCATCCTCCAGGAACACAGCCCCTGCCCCGAGGAAGAAGACCAGTGCTTCCAGACACGGTGAAGGCTTTCACACAATGCACACTGGAGCACGAGGCTTACAGCCGAGACCTGGCGGCACTGGATTTCTCCCCCGGCTGTGAGGCAGAATGTTGGATGATCGTGTGAAAACAAGTGATGAATGGATCAGGGATCTATCACCGCTACTTCGTCCTGAGAGCTCCCCTATGACCCTGCACGCTGATGGCAGAAGGCTGTGGTTCTGCAAGGAGACTTCCCCACTCGTGAAGTCTCTCTGGTGAATAATTCACCAATTCAATTTACTAATCCACAGTTGCATACAACAGTTGTAAGCTTTGCAGTATTTTAAGCAAAACTGAAATACAAAGCAAGTTTCCTCTGGCATAGACTATCTAGGATATCATTTTACAATTCATGTCTCTGTACGTTACAAGGGAATTGGAATGCATCCAAGATGTTTCTTGAAATTGACATCAGTCTCTCTTTTACATCCATCAATTCACTGCTGCCTCAAAACCAAATTTCCTAACCATACCTTATTTTATAAATGGTGTAACATTCATGGTTAAGATTATTTTGATAAAAATGCAATGTAGTGTACATTTTTGTACACTAGTCTTCTCACTTGTATTTTATTGGTATTTTGTTATTTGAGTAGGCTGCATGTGTCACTTAAAACCCAACTCCCGGCCTGAGCAGAGGAAATGAAACCCAGGCCTGGAGCAGAACACCCCGCTAGTCCTACTCACCCGTCTAATCCTGCAAGATTAGCCGTCCCCTTTGTGCCATATGCTCTCGCTCACACCACGCTTAAACCTCTCGCTCTGCCAACAGCTGGTCTCAGTCACATTCTCGTGGCACATGTCACTTGCGCTCATGCAGTGGCTCAGAAGGCCTGGGCTCCCTCGGCTGGCGTCACAGGGTGGGGAGCTGCGATAATGCTTGATGTCACTGCTGCTCAGCCCCGGCCTAATAAACCCAGAACAGCTGTCAGAGCTGCCCCTTATCTCTGTCGCCGCCGCTGCTCTCTCGGCAGCCCATCCACACGGTCCTTCTGCAGGGCCCCGGTAATTGCATTACATCAGCTTTAAACATCTTACCTATGTAATGTGCTTACTGTGTGGCGATAAGCACAGAGTTTTCCATACTGCCAGCGTTCCTTAACCCGCCCAAGGCGAACAACTACCACTCCAGCAGCCAGATTGGAAGCGGACCGAATTCAATGCCGAGAATCGCTTCTGATAAATCTTTTTCACAACATCAATGTTTTTGGCAGAGTCAGGCTTTAATCTTTTTTGAGCTATGCTCTGAGTGTGAAGTAAAACCAAATATGCTTATATGCTCATATATTTATCTATTCTTATATGCTCATTCATGTTCAGGTTATTCACCAGTTTTCTAACTAGAGGTCTAGCTAGGCACTAAAGGTAGGTCATTCTGGTTACCTTGATTAAGACTCTTTCTGAGAGCATGCTGTGAAAACCCAGTGTGACGAATCCAGCTAATTGCCTCTGAAAAAACAGTGATGGCCCCAGCTTGTGCTCTGAACAGCTTTGAGACCTGCAATTAACTGAATATCTCCATCTCCATGTTCTGACTTACACAGGTACAAATGATTACTACAGTGGCTCTGAATCCCACTCCCTGCAGAGAAATAATGATGCATGTAAATGAATTTATTCTAGTAAGTGGTTTTGTCAATCACTGATTAAATGCCTTGTTATTTTGAATGATTTTTTAAAATTTGTTCAGGGCAGAATGTGGAAAAAAGGAGCTAATCAGCAGCTTTGCACATCAAACCATAATCTAGTCTCATTTCATTCCATAAATGTGATTTTCATCTAGCAAACCGACTACCAAAGGAGCTGGATGGGTCTACCAGGAATTAAAAGCTTCCTTTTTAAATTAAAAAGTTAAGTGTAATGTCAGTTTCATTTAGAAAAGATCCACACATCTTAACATTCAGAGATGTATAAACTATAAAAACACATGGATACTGATTTGAAGACTTTTTCATTATTATCACAGAAGAGAAACTTCTATATAAAACCTGCTGGATGGTAGTCTTGACAAGGATACAATCTGGGACAATATTTTCCTTTCTCTCAAAGCTTAGCACACTTGCACACAGGACACATACAGCACAGCACTAGCAGTTCTATGTGAAGATTGTCTCTGTCACATTTGCACTCAAAGTGCAAATGTACTCATACGTACTCAAGCTTTGTGAGTGTCCTGTGACTGAGTGCCTTTAGGTCCACATGACTAATGTGCTTACAGATGATATGACTGGTGTCAATATACAGCCAAAATCTTGGATCCACATTTTCAATGATGATTCTCAAGCTTCCATCAAACTTGGGTAGGATTTTTTTGTTAATTCTAACCATAGCTAAAAATAGATATTTTATGAGACTGAGAAAATTTTAAATAACACTTGTTTGCATTACTTTGCAAAATTCAAGGTTATAATAAGAAATAAGGGTACACCAGTCTGCTAGTGCAAAATGTGACATTTTGATCACATGACTTTTAATCATCTTTAAGCCTTGTGGAATTAGTTCCAGTTTTCCTGCTTTTTATGTGAGCACACATTTCTTATGTTGGAATTATGTTGTTATTCTTAGTTCAAAATTAATAGAATTCTTTACAAATATATACTCATGACTATATTTCTTCACACCAACTTGTATTCAGACCCATGTTTATTGTTTTGTTTTTCTTTTTTCATTAATGGAAGTGTTCAGCATGAGCATTCACATTTTCCACCCATCCATCTTCTAAAGGCTTCTTCCAGTTCAAATTTGTGGGGAGCCGGAGTCTATCCCAGCAAGCAATGGGCACAGAGCAGGAGACACCCTGGACGAGACACCAGTCCACCACAGGGCAGACAGAGGCACAAGCATGATGGGACACTGCAATGCTAACCATTGCGCCACAATACTTCCCTATTCACAACTTACAGAATTTATAATTTAACAAAATGGGACATTCCAGGTACAGTGGTTAACATTGCTGCCTTACACTCCTGGGGCACCGGGTCCAATTCTGGAGCCTGGGTGCTATCTGAGCAAAGGCTGTATTGTATGTTCTCCCCATGTTGGAGTAGGTTTGTAGAGTTTTGTTATACAAATTTTTTTTCTGTGAAACAAAAAGTTTCTGTGAATTATAATGATGTAAGTGGTGTCTGCAGAGTACTAATTAGGATTGAACCACACCCTAATGTAGATAATACTAGCACTAGCTCTGCTTTTATTCAAGACACCATACAATGCATTCTCCATTTCATACTTTTGGATGTATGTTAACTGCTCCTACTTGCTGTAGAGGCTAATATGAAATATTTACTGTAGAAAAACATCGGCATGACTTCATGTTCAAAAAAGTTTAATAATTGTAAGCAAGGCTATGCTGGATAAAGCTAGTGAGTTATCATTTTCCATTACAAGTAAAAACCCACACGAACATAATACAACATAGGAAAGGTTACAAACGAGAAGAAGCCATTCAGCTCCTCTGGCCCATTTGGCAGTTAGTGGTTAATTGATCCAAGAGTCTCATCCTGCTGTTCCTGAAAGAAGCCAGGGTATCGGCTTCAGAAACACGGATAGCTGGATGCAGAATCCACAGCCCTTTGTCTAAAGACTCCTGTACCTCCTGTTCTGGGTTTTAAATGCATTTCCACAAAGTCTCCACCTGTGCCCTCTGATGTGTGTTCACTGTTCTTTCTGGAGAAAACCACAAGGTTGACTGTCAATACCTGTAAGTATTTCGAACGCTTATATCTTATCTATTGATTCAAAGGGAAACAGGGAAACACGTTTCTCCCTGATATGAAGAAAACATCCAAACTCCACACAAAAGACTCTCCAGGCAGGAACTGAAGCCAGGATTTCATTAGTGGCAGAGCTAAATGCTATTCCACACAACATGATTTCCCTGGGGTTTTTTTACTGCAGCCTCCTAGAGAAAGGAAGATAGTGGTATTCAAGGAATGCTACCTTTTCAAATGTGTTCTGCAAATACAGCGTCTATGGATTAAGGGGAAAATAGGTTTTCTTTATAATGGTAATTTAATAGTCTCAGCTATGACCATTATCTAACAGCCACGGTAGTTCTAGCTCAAAGACAACAAATTACGGGTTCTGGTGCCCGGCCTGGTGCTACAGTATGAATGGAAGAGATAAGACGTTTCTCTTTCTCTTTCTTATGACGTCAATCAGATCGAAATCAATCGTTTTAATATTCTGACTGGCAGTGTGACTTGTGTAGCAGTCGGCCTGATTGCGCTTCTGTGCACACACGATCCAGAAGACCATTGTAATATCACAAGTGCCACATCCAGATAAGGACATAAAGCTTGAGAAATCAATGACATTTAAACTTGGCATACAGATAGCAGTAAAATTAAAAGAACCTTGCAGAAGTGACCACAGCAGAGGAATAAGTCCAGGGCTTTCACTGATGTACTTCAGGCCTTTCACACTGATGCTGATGTTATACAGAAACATCAGTATTAATCTGCAAAGTAAAGAAATTGCAATTTCAGCTGTTTCCCTGACTTTGCAATGATTATATATTTCTTTAGTGAATTAAGCTTTTAAAGCTTCTGTATAAAAGGCAATAATGTTTTTAAAAACAGCTTTTGAGAAAGGGTCAGGGTCTTTTTAGGGTGGCTCCATTTGGCAGCTAACAATGAAGAAACTATAGACATACTCTCTAAGGCACCCCCAATTGTTTTTTATAAGAGTTACAGCTGGTGCAGCCCGCTGCATAACATTTATCAAAGACAAATATGGAAAAGTCATCAGTTACAGGATTGCTTCTCTTTAAGCCATCCACTTTTCAATTTAGATACAAATTAGAATTTTAGTTCAAATATTGGCACTTAGAAAAAAACCTGTATTTATAATGTGTATTCATAACAGGTTATGTGGACCAAACTGTAGCATGAAATAAAAAGGGTATAAATAGGTGACATCAAGGGATCAAATTGTGCAGGACGAAAAGAGCTAAATGGAATCAATTTCTTTGGTGGTAACAAACGGTATTCTTCTATCTTAAGACTACTCTTTAGTCTTACAGGTAAAGGTATACAAAAGTATTAGATGTCTTTTATTCATAAATAATAGCACAGTGCATTAGCAATACATCTCAGAATAGTAACAAAATCTAGGAAGCTAATTATAATATATATAAACTTACTTTCCTTGGCGAAGTATGCATGTACTGTATATATGCATCTTTATGCACATTTCTATTATATTTGACTTACAAATGACCTTTTTGATTTTAGCCCTCCCAAAGTGTTATTGTTGCTCTTAATCAAGCAACTTATTTCAGCAGCCCTGGAATGTGCTTGGTTAGGCCTGTTATTCCTTATCCCAACCGCAGAGCTAGGGAAGACATGCAGCTCTCACTGACAAAACAGTAAGCTCTCAGAAGCCTGGCTGTCACAGCCCCTGTCACAGGGGTTGCTGCTGCTTCGCAAGAAGACGATCTGTGGCCCATTTAAACTCACCCAAGCCAGCGAAACTGGGCCAATCACCTCTTGAGTTGTTCTTGGTTAATAACATCAAAGTAGTGATGTCGGCACTGAATGGTTCTACCTGCCCGTATGCCTGCATGTACTGTATATATGCAATTATACTTTAATGTTATCTTTTAAATACCTATGTGACACATTTCTGTATATAATACTAACATGTAAATGCAACATGTTTCCACTTACAGGCCTTGTTAAACTATTTACCTCCTTCCCATGATGATTTTGTTGAATTACAATTTTTTAAAAGGTAATGCTTTATTCAAAGCTTCAATGTTCTATCTGAATACTTTCATGATTGTTGTTTTTGCTGGAATTTAATTTATCCCCTAACACCAGCTTGTCTCAGGTACTTGTACTTTTGCAAAGCACTGTAAATTGGGAGGAAAAAATGAATAAGACAAGTTGCCAATTTACTTTTCTTGCTCTGTGTAAGAAAACGTAATAATTAAGATGGCCTCTTTGCACTTACACTTTCAGTCTGGCACAGACACCTGGTTTCAGTTCCTCCAGAAGCTGCATCATTGTGTCCAGGAGAACTGGGGAGGAGCTGGCAAGAAAGTCTCGACCGCAGGCCGCAGCAGCAATGTCTGAGAAAGGGGGCATTAGAGTTAGGATTAGGAAGGAGCGTGACAGTCAGGCACAAGTTTGATGCTTCCAGAGCACTGTAAAGCCACTCAGTACAGTCACTCATCTAAACACTGAAAAATCACAGTATTCCAGATAACGATACATGAAAAATTAGAAACTAAATAGTTTTATTTTCTCCCTGCTCATAAACACAATTGAGAAGTTTGGTCAGATGCTCATAATTTATATAGAGACAAAGGGTATTGGAGCTTGTTTGGCGTACCTGCCTACCTAATATGTTGAGGCTGACTGAATCCCTAAAGATCCCCAAAAACACTGATGCAGAATTCCTAATGCTGGTTTATTACACACAAGCCGAAAGGCCACTGGATTGGATCAGATATACGTGAGGTAAGTGTCATAAGACCACTGGTGTAGAGTGCGATGGTGGGGATTTTAATTTCACATTGGGCTCCAGAAGATGCTGTGCCGATCCTGGAAGAGTGGCTGGAGAAGCGATTAATGCTGAAGCCAGCTTCAGTTAGCACCATGAAGGTGATACAGGAACCAGTGCAGAGTAACCATTTGCAGGTTCTTAACAATAAACGGGGGTTCAGATGAAATGTTTGGCTAGATGAATAAAGGGATTTATAAGTCTTGATAATGGAGCTGAGTTTGCAATAGGGAAGGTAATGCCTTGATCTAACTGCTGCTTTTAAGATTATAATGACATCAAGGGTATTTCAAGTAGGTAGCTGCGTCAGCATGCGTAGGTTGCACAGGAACAGGTAAAAGGTTTATTCCATGATGAAAAGAGAAGAAAGGAAACACAACATAACAGCTGATAGAGAGGTCTAAGAAACAGGGGTGGGGGGAAGGGTGAAAGGTATGGCTAGCAGCAATAAATCTGGAGCAAGAAACTGAGGAAGGCGAGTCAAGAGTCAAATCAATGAGAAGGGACTGGTGGCTGCTTCTTGGAGAGAAATGCAACCTGTTCAAATTTCAATTTGAAATAGGAAGACATTTAGACAGTGAAGGTATCTCTGATTTGGGGTCCTTCAGAACAAAGTCGATTTGCGGATGCATTCAAGTAAATCAGGGATTTTTATGGAAGAACTGCAAATTGTTATTTTGAGATAGAGGTCTGGAGGTGGGGGTCCAGGACTTTCACAGGACTTTTACCATCCTGACCAAGGAGTGGAAAGTGTGGGGTGCAATGCTCTGGAAAGTTTTCCGAAGGGTGATGAAAGGATTTAGAGGATGTGAACATGGAATCCTAATAGCAAGGAAATGGCATTGGTGTTTAGTCTGATCATTTGGACTTGAGGTCCAGAATTGCTGGAACTGAGAACCCCATTTGTGGAACAGCTTTGAAAGATGGGTGTTGAGAGTAAATGCAGTACACATCTTTGGGGGGAGAGAGCATAAGCCCCTTTAAAAGCTACAGATGTAAGGAAAGCGGCCAATGTTTAATTTAGTCTGACTTGTCTTCCTCCTACATAGATAACAGTGCGGCCTCCATCATCTTTCAGTCTTGCAGAGGGTGTGAGAATCATTGATGGGGAAGGGGAGGACAGGAGGTACCTGTAGGGCAGCTGGAGAGGGGGTAGTGTGATGATGAATGAGAATGAAAGCACAGGTGATGAAAGTGATAGTATGCAAGCTGGCAAAAGGGCACAGCAGAGCTGAGTATTGAGCTCCCCAGCTGGAGCGGTGCTTCCCCCTGTTGCATACAGGAAGTTGCGTCAACAGTGAGCTGCTTGGAAATTCATAAAATTGCAGAACCACCGAAGCGAGGGAACACAGAGCAAGATATTCCCACATACAGAAGCAAGCAGTTCCAAAAAATCTTCATGGCATTTTTAACATAATGAGGTAATGGTGCCATTTCTATGTTAAGCATTAATCATAAATATAACATTTATTGTTATATATTTTATATTGTTTATCACATGCATCACAAAGACAATGACACATGCAAAATGAAAAACTCAGTTTTTCACAGAAATCGCAGAACTATAATAATAATTCCTGACACTTAAAGAGCACTTTACAGGACACTCCACCAATTTGTAGCCCCACCTGGTTGATGTGAAGGCAACCGAAGTGCGCCAGTACACTCACAACACACCAGCTATCAGTGGGGAGGAGAACAGAGTGATGAAGCCAGTTCAGAGATGGGGATTGGCAAAGGCTCACACCTGCTTACCTTCCTTGGTGTACCAGTTATGAGTTGCAGGGTGATATAGCTGCTGGCCTAACAGTAGCTAATGACTATACTCCCAGACATGTATTAGGGCCCAACAGCTGTGATGCTTTACACATGCTAAATGCTAAATATCCATGAAACATTCACTCCGCATATAGGAAAGACGCCATTAGAAATGAAAAGAATTACTCATTTCTGTTCATCAGAACTATCATCAAAAGGTCTAAAGGCAAAAGAGCAGCTTTGTCAAATAATCATTCTCGATAACTTATTTTTAAAAAGAGGCTTTCAAAATAATTAATAAAATACACAAGTTTTTGTATCACCACACACACATCAAAGGATACCCACTCTGCTCTGATATTGATGCTATCAGGTAAAACAGGCTTATTCCAATCCAACCCTTTTTTCTGACTAAATTAGTCATCTCTCTATCTCTCTTTTGTGCTGGTGAGAACTTCCTCCACTCCAGACATGTAAATAGCAGCTGAGTCTTGCTGACGTCTGGGAATTAGTCCAGGGTGTTATATCACCTAACACAAGGTAGGTACTGTAGGTAAAGTCCCCTTTCCAGGCCATAAAGGGGAATGGTGGGCAAGAGCCACCATTTTTCTCAACCATCCAACACTGGAAGTAGAGGTAATGTGGTCAGGATCACGCTCCAGCCGGCCTATTGGACTAAGCGGTTATTTAAAATGGATGGATGATGTTTTGGTCCAGACTTGAAGCATGTGATTCTTCTATGTAAACGTCTGATACTTCATTCTGTACTGTTGTCATCCTGTTTTTCACCCTTATGTTTATATGATTGGGTGCAATTGCAATACTGTTTTATGGTTCTTAAGAAACAGATTAGCCAGGGGATTAATGCTGAATTTACCCAATAGTGTTATTCAGATTTGTTGCAAAATCAATAGCTTGCCTGTATCAAAAAGTCCAGTTAGGCTTGGGTAACTGAAAGCCCCATGCAAGCTGCTTTTCTAAATCAAAGATAAAACACTGATAACAAATAAAGAAATGTCACTTACTGCAGCCTGGACTCGGATATCTTTTTTAGCCCGTCCTTTATGTACTTGTTACATCAATACCAGGACCTTCAGGAATATGCTGCAGTCGGCAGCTAAGCGCATTTTAATTACTCTACGTGTTCACCGCTGGGAACAGAAAAGGTCACCAGATGTGACTCGTTATTTCTATGGCTGTGAATTCTACCTTAATCCCCCTGCCCTTGCCAACTTTGAGTTTGCGAGTAGTAAATGGAACAGGGTAACTGAGTCAACATGGAGATGAGCAAAAAGAGGATTAAAAAGATTTCAAATATCATATTTAATTAGATATTGAGACACACCTCACATATCTCTTCAGCTCTAAACGCCACTTTCACATAGAAATGATTCCTCCCTGTGAACTTGTTTGTATCTTGCAGTTGTATCTCTTTATGTATATTCATGAAAAAGCAGGTACAGTTTTAACTGGTGGATTGCATTTGGTATTTTCCCTGTTCAGCAGACAAATATCTGAGCCAATTAATCAGTCATACTTATTTGGATTTTGATCAGGCTATGGCATTTCACAATACCATAGTATCTTACAGGCTAAAATCACTGCTTTAAATAAGACCCTTTGCATATTTTCAGACATCACAAGATGAAATAACATATATACCTATGTTTTTTATGAAACTGTGAAAAGTCTTATTTACAACTCTCTTCTCTTCCGTACATTGAGAAAGTTTGTCCTTTATCATATCTTCAGTCTGTCGGGATTTTTTTCTTTCAGTGGCAAATAATCCAGCTACTAAACAAAATCAATTATCTCAGCTTAAGAGTTTCTTACTATAACTAAACTGTTAAATTTGCTTTCCAATCTCATTTAACATTCCTTTTCCCCCATGGACTCACAGCCCTGCTGTTTTTCAATGTTATTGAAACCCCTGATTGTGGCAGAAAGAGCTCTTTCAGCAGTGTGGGTAATTAGTATTGAAGTGCATGACTCCCTGGAGGTGAGCAGAATCTATGGTTGGTCTGTAGCGCTCAAAGAAAAAAATAAAATCCCCCTGTGCTTACTGGTAATGACGCCTGCCAGGGCTAAAACAAACTGATTCTCATCAGAGCTGAGGTCCTGTTGCCCGGGTCTGCCGTCACCGTCGAGTGACTTCACAAAGCTCTCCAGTGTCTGCCCGGCCACGGTGAAGAAGGTCTGCACTCTGCTCTGCAAACACACAGAGACCCCGTCACAAACACACACGTTTCTCACCCACAGCAGCGCACGGGGTCACCAGAACCATGGAGATATGATCAGATTTTAATCGTGCATGCACCAAACAAAGTCATCGTGTTAGGAAATCGTTTCTTCTTTGTTTCCAGACTGCAAATTCCACACATGTGATCCTACTCTACTTTTCAATTTCTGATTAGACATCTTAAATCAAAAAACTTTTGACAACTTCCCTTTATACGAGATGCTTTTCCTTAATTGTTTTGAAGTAACTACAGTATGTACAGTAAGTGATTGGTCATCCATAATATAAGATAACCATTTGGAAACAGTTTCAGGTTTGCAGTTCACAGCTACTTGATTTCAAGCACACTGCAAATCCACACACTGCATAAGCAATGGGCAGTTTTAATAACTGCGCAATAATGCTACTTTACAAACAGGCTGCTAAACACGAGCCAGCAGTTTTCTGGTCCAGAATTTAAAGGTACATAAACAGAGCATGTTTTTCTGCCTTTTTTTCCTTGAGGAAAAAAAAAACTGTAGACCGTTTAAAACAGTGCCTTCCAAAATGTTCCTAAGCTGCTTCAGTTTCATTCCATCATTTGTTTGACTTTTTTGGTATTCTTATTTTCACAAAGTGTGACGCAGAGAGGAAGTGGCCTTTGCTTTCATGCATGCAGCAAGATCCGCTTCAGCTCCCCAGTCTGGGCCGTTCACCCAGTTCTATAATTGCACAATTTAAGGCCCTTTCCATGTCCTGCTGGGTCACTGTTGCCAACACCATGTGAAAACGAAATTCAGGCTTCAGAAGAATGAAACCATTTGATGTCATGGGTGAATTTCATAAGCTCCCAGAAGTCAGTGATTTTACATTTTAAAAATGAACAGCCAAGAGGCTTTACATCTAGGCTGCTTGTTAATCTTGCATTCATTTATGTAGCATAATAAGGCAACAATGACAAACTGCAGGGGGAGGAAATGCCCAAAATGGCAAGGGTCTGTGTGATGACAGACACATGCAGGTTTCAAGTAGCTAAATACTACACAAGTGATAAAACAATCCAATAGATTTTACCAAGAATACAACACAACAGACAAAATCATTGACGTATAATTAATATCTAGCAAATTCTAAACCACTCCTGTAGCTTTCATGCCTAAAATATCATGTTTTTTATCATGAGGTTTCATATCTTCTGTTAACGATACTCTTTGTTAGGTCTCTAAAAGAGCCAGCTCTTCTAGTATCCCTAACATGCATCGGCATATCCCTACAAGGACTGAGAAAATGCAATGTTAATGTTATTTTAAATAACAGTTATGTTTTTCCACCTCTTTTTTTAACAACATTCCTATTGACTCCATTCTGAATGATTTCAAGTTCACGGATCAACTGCAGGACTGCAGATTCCTTTAAAGACCACAGTATGTAATGTAATTAAGAGAAAAACACTGCAATTGTAATATTCTGAAGAACATGAGAATTGTTGAAATGGCCAGAGGAGACTAAAAAAGCTCTTGAACTTCATCAAAGATTATTCTTAAGAGTATGTTTTTCCAATTTCTTTAGTGGCACAGAGTACTTACAGTAGTGCTTATAGTTATAGTTAGTTGATATTCAAATTGGCATCCATCACACAGAGGACCAATTAAAAATGGCACTTGATTTAAACAAAAGAGGTAGTGGCAAACATGTTCCTATGATTCCTATGATGATATGGACCCTGAATATCTCAAGGTAGCTTTTATGCATTGAAGCCATCAAGCACACAAATAGTGGTCACACCAGGCTGGTGTAGCGCCCTGTTGAGTATTCTGTGGCTGTTCATGCGAATGTTTCTTCGTGGCCCCTTCTGCAATTGTGCACAGAAATCAATAATAAAATCTAGGAAGGCAACTCACTACTGAAATGCAGCACTCACCTACATGATGCATGACAGCCATCTGCAGCCCAGACATAGAAATGAAATGCAATTCACCAATTCAATTAAGGGGGAACTTTAGGAAGTCAAGATCGCATGAGTCCAGAGTGTAATTTAGCCAGGACAACAGTGATAACAGCCCTATTTTAGTAAACAGCCTTGGAAATAAGATAAGATCACTTTATTAGCCATATACAATTTCTTGTATTGTCTTATTGCATACCCCAGCTTGCTCTCCATGATACACCCAGACAAGGAAAGAAGCTTGGGGGCAGAGCACAGGGTCAGCCATTCATACAACACCCCTGGAGCAGTTGGGGTTAAGGGCCTTGTTCAGGGGCCCCAATAGAATAGGATTTCTCTGCCAGCTTTGGGATACGAACCAGGAGCCTTCCAGCCACAGAGCCACCACACCACCCTGCCCCACAAAGCATTCAGGACCTTGGTCCAACAACTTATCATTTCATCTGATGGACGGCACCTCCTGACAGCACAGCGTCCCCAGTCTCCGTGCTATGACAATGATTTGGAAGTTACTGTTCATAGGAAAGGAAACCACCTACTGGTTTACCAACACCACTAACAGCAACAACATGGATTTCTGTGGAGGTCTTCCATCCTAGTGCAAACCAAGGCTAGCCTTGCTGAGCTTCTGAGACCTGATAAGACTGTAGCTGCAATACAGTTGTTTGAACAGGCCCACTACGCTCGCCTTGCAAAACTGTTTGAAGAGGTCTTAAATACAGGCCTTTAGAGCTGATTTGGTATATATGGATTTCCAGCGCTATAGAATCTTTCCATATCAATTAACTTTCTACTCCCACATCCTGTCTCCCAACAACCACCACAAAAAAAGCATCAGCTCACACACAGTCCCAGGCTGAACTACCAGCTTCACACTTATCAAGCTTGTTTCTGTCAGAAACTAAATCTAAAATGAACAATTATTGCAAAATCTAACGCTACGGGATTGGCGTGGCTGCCGTGGAGAGCAGAAGCTGTGGATGCACTCATGACAGGTATGGGTGTGGAGAAGCTCATAGAAGGTTTCTGTGACCTGACTCACACCCGCCAAGATGTCCTGGATGACTTCCTCTTTGCTGGAGACTCTCCAGAGCAAGTTGCACACAGCCGCCCCCATCTGAGTGCAGTACTCTGCCTGCTGCCGCAGCTGTGTCTGCGCACTCCACAGCTCCTCCCGCAGGACAATCTTCTCCTGCAGACGGAGCACAGGAATAAGCACACCGTGAGCCAGCTGATCCGAGGATCCCGTCCAGCTCTTTCTTGCAAGAAGCCAGAGTGTCAGCTTCAACAGCACAGCTGGACAGCTCGTTCCTTACTCTTACCCTCTCCACGGAAGAACTGTGTCCAGACATCAGCACCCTGACACAAGATAGAAGAAACTTGCTAGCTAGAGGTGACAATTATCGTATTAGATCGTCAGAGAACCACAGTCACATCTTTTTAATTCCTGACTTCTGGCCAAACAGCATCTGCCACAGTATACGCTAGCCAAATGAAACATACGTAGTACAGTACTTAATCACTTGCAGGTAAAGAAAAATGGGAGATTCACAGCCCTAGCAGTCCGGGCTCTCGTGTGCAGGTCCTTAAGTTACATGTGACCTGAGACTGGGATCTGTTACACAAAGGAAAAATGCATAAACTCATGGAAACTAAACATTAGTTTTCCAAATAGGAACGTAAGTATTACGTATTTGTTAATAGCTATTGAACCAAGACTTGGTCATGTTAAGTAATTTACCCACACTGCACAGTTTAGTTTCCTGTCACAGGCGGGTCCAACTGCGATCGTGTCCATTCAGAGTTGAAAATAGCAGGCACATGGAAGGACCCTCCTCTACTTAAGTGCACTTTGCAAAGGTCACAAGTATCTCATTTCCAACTTCAAGTATTCCATTAACTAATGTGAACAAACTGATGTGGATGTGATGACTAAGTCATTGAAGACATTAAGGGCAATTAGAGTGGAGTGAGAAAATAGACTATCACCTGCTGATCAAAACATCCCCCACCAACACCTCCTCTATTACTCGGCAAGGCTGGTTTCCAGGAGACAGAGGGTCAATAACCTCTATGAACTTGTGAAAACCCTAATCTACTTTTCAAATGTGTATTTTCATGCACAAAGAAATGGAGCATTGGCAGGAAAACACTGGGCCTTCCAAACCAGTCCAAGGCAGGTTTGTGGTAGAGGTCTCTGGCAGTTCTTTCAGGCAGTCTTGTTTGAAGCTCTGTTTTGCAAGGACCACCATTTTGGTACTGGACTGCTGGAATGGGATTATGGGTGCTGTTTGTGATATTTGAAGCTATAATTTTGAAATGTGATGAGCAAGTCAAGATTAATAATGTATAACTATTTAACTGTAATATAAATTAGAATTCAATAATAAATGAGAGATACAGTACTATCGAAGAGAGAGGACGTTTCTATAACAGACTGTTTGTGTAGGCTTGGGTTTCCTGTAAGAGTGAGATAATCTCACAACTACAAGAAGCCTTTCAACCCATTATTACACTGATGTAATTAGCACCATATTGAACAACTAAACTGACTGTGCCGGTGATACAATTATTTAAATCCTCAATGCACTGCAAAAAGGAGCCAGAAGTATACTGATTAGATTACTTGGAAGATATTTTTTTTATTAAGAAATGAACCACATCTGAAGTCCAAGAAAAAAAAATCTAAAATCAAAAGTGCACTTTTCATTTTGATTGCTAACATATGCTAATATCAGAAGCCAGGTGGAGAAGGGGGTTGTTTCGTTAGGCTTCAAGCCTATCCTTCCTGGAGTCAAACCTCTACTGCAGTGAGGGATCCATTAAGCTTTAGTCACACTTTGAGTTAGTATGGAAGGCAGATTAAATTAGATAAATCACAGCCTTCTACCCTCTCAAAGACACAGTTATCTTAACTGTAACACAACAGGTATGTTACATTTAGGCTATCCATTTTGTTAGTTTAGAGCCTGGTTTAGACCAGTACTTTTTTAGAACCTCTATGATCATACTTATTAAGAGTTAAGCACAAAGCTATTTTAAAATCAAAACTCTAGAAAACAACAGCAAGAGCTTCACTAACTCTTCAAAGGGTTCAAAGGAAAACACTGCAAATCATAGGAAAGGTCCATTTGAATCCTCTCAGACTTCTTGATGGATTATGATTTGTTGTGTTGTGTTGGAATCTAACACTGCACTCTGCACAGATAACTGATTCTTTTTGGTATTCTACAGAAAATGACACAAAAAAGAGCAAACTGATTAAAGTAAGAATGAACCTCTTAGCCCAGAACAAAGACATCCAACTTTGAGGATGTCAGCATTATTGTATTGAATATGCGATACAACAACAATGACAGAGTAGCAAGACATCTTCAAACAGATATTGCAAATTATTTACAGAAGGAATCCAGCATTTGTCATCCTGCATAAAACTCTTTGTCAAAGACTATATAACAGGAGTTTGTTACCAGGAACATAATACAGTACATTTCTCTTATCATTTTGGATTTTATTCTCACACTCTCAAATTGACCACCATGAAACAAACTACATATTATATATTACATTAATGTAACATTGTACAGTATTAAGCCTGTGGGGAATAAGTATACTTACAAACACATTTTTGAAGAATGTCAAATCCATAATCACCTATAAATATGTATTTCATTATTCTTGTGACTTTAATGGTTTTGGAAGGATAAGACTGACTGCGGTATAAATTTGTGGAGAACTACAAAACCAATTTCAATACTGATTTTTAATTGTATACTCTTCTATTTTTATTTTTAGAATAACACAAAACTTTACTGGAAAGTTCACAACGTAAGTAACCATGGTTCAGATTATTTACAGTGACAATTTAACAACAACATTAATAATAATAATTGCTTACACTGATATAGCG